AAACGTTTTTTTTTCACTAAATCCTTATAGTTTATATGTTATTTTCTCTACCCTAATCTCAAAACTGGATCAGTCAATTCAACCGACCTCGTGACCACCAAAAAAAAAATCGAAATAAACCTAAATTAACCTTCTTTTCTTTCTAGTATGACTTCAGATTGTAACCTGAAACTACATTTGTTTGTCCTAAGTGACTCTAAGTTCCTAACATTATACATCTATTTATAATTAAATTTTATTGTTTTATTGCCCATTGAACTATGTCTAACTGCTCTCTGTGCCATTATAAGTTGTCAATCACTCGGGAAATGTGCAGCTCACGTTACGCTATCGAATTACATTACCAATAAGCTGCTCACGTGCGTGTTTTTTGTTTCATTATATATTATTTATAACCAATAGAAAGTCAAGGTGCTCATGTGTCAAATGGCATTTTGTATAACATTGTTTTGAACAGATAACAGTCAATGTCACTCGGAGTAGCAATTTTGTTCCCCTGGGAAAATTAATGACTAGCTGGGATGAATTTATAACGGCTCTTGTTGCATAGTTAGAAAGCCAGGAACATTTTTAGAAGTAAGTGAATTTGTCTACCTTTTGCATGTTATTAGTCTATATTCTTTGGTGTATTATGTAATTAAATAAAAATTGTTGAAGTGCCTTACTATAATCACTAAAATAAATCAGGCTTAACTCTCACTGACAATTGAGGGCAAAAAAAAAAAAATTGGGTAAGTACTTTATTTCTTGTTTTTCATATCTATTCTTTATTTATTATTATAAAAGTAACTAAAATTAAAAGTATGGATCTTTTTCAGTTATTTAACACTAGAATAGGTAAAATAAGTAATAATAATATAATTCAAATTGTTTATTAAGAGAGAACTATCAACCAATTGTGAAAGGGAGGATGTGACAGATGGGTGTAGCAGGAGGGGTCTGATTTTCTCTTTGATAGCTCTGTAACAAAACAAAATTGAAGGCCATAAAATTATGGTCTGTTTAAGCAACAACGATTTTATAGAGAGCATTTCATGTTTAATTTCGTACATTTTCTAGGGGTGATGGATTAAATATGGATGATGACATGCTAAGACAAAATTTGTCATGTGTGTTACACTAGTGGAAATTCAGAATTTTTTTATATATTTCCTTTTAGAATTAAGAACTTAAAACTTGTATACTATTAAAATATGGATTATTAGCTAATACTTTATGCTATTCTAATTGGTATAACATAAACAAAAAGTAGTTTAATAAAATTTTGAATGTAAGACGCTAAAACATTGTGTCATGAGCAGTAAAAGGTACCCGTGCCGAAAGAGTTAATTCGACCCCCTTCGTCTCACTTTTATCCTCTTTCTCTTCCTAAGTTTGCACTCTCTCACTTTTCTTCTTCACTGAGGATTATTCTCCATTCACCTTCATGTGTGGAATTTGTCCGGTCTTTCACTCATCTGAGTGGACTTTCTATTGCTGTAGCTTTATTCTTATCAAATTCTTCTTCTACTTCCACAGTATCTGTCTATCACTATCTGGACAGATTTTTTGTTATTGGTATTTCTGCCACTGTTTTTTCCAGGTGGTAATTCCATGAACCACTTTTCCTACCTTTCTTACCACTGTGTTCATAGAAGGATTCTTTGTCTTAGCCTTTCTTAGTTGTTGGGTGGCCATGTCTATGGTTTTTCTCCTTTCCAAGTACCTAGATGTGTTTTCTTACTCTGTCCTCTTCATTCTATTCTGCTCCTTCTCTCTCGTTTGCCCTCATCACCCTGCTCTCTTCCTTACTGAGACCTTGTTAAAGTTTTCCTGATCTAATGCATGCCTCATTTGGTTTCCTGCCTTTTTTTTTAATGCCTTTCCCTCCTGTTCCTTCTTCCTTATTTTCCTACATCTACCATTCCAATGTCTATCCTCTATATGCTTCTTATACCCTCTTCCACCACACTTCTCTTCCATCTCTGTACTATTGGACCATCCAGACCTGGCTCAGCTCCAGTGTCCTGTTGGACAGTTCTGCATGCCTTATGGATCTGTTACTTTAAGGGTCTCCATCTTCTTATTCTGTCCCTATCGTGGGACCCATATTTTCTATGAACTTCATTCCTTCTTCCTTTCCAGTATGGGCCTATAGACTCTTCCATAGACATGTTTGTCTCGGGATGTTGATGCTCACATTCTGTTTGTCACCCTCCTATTCCACTTCTTCGCTGGCCATTGGACAAACTTATCCAGGCAGGCATGTGGACTTTTTTCATACATCCATCTCTGTTCCTTCTGGCTGTTTTCTCTTCTGACAGTTTTATGCTTTCACAGGTCACCATTCTTCCATAGCCTCACTGTCTTTGAGTAGAATGTGCACCATTTCCATTTCAGGACACCTCTTTCATTTGGTAAGATCCCACTAGGTGGCTAAAGTCACCTAACAGGGTATACTTACTCAATATCCATGTAAAACCAGGATAAAGGAAAGTGCTCATAACCATCTGCCCTGGCTATACATGTGCACACTGTTTTCTGCAAAATCATTTGAGGTTTCCTTGTGGAATATATATACTGCATTAGCCCGATTATAAGGCAGTGTTTTTTTATTAATGATTAGGCTGTAAAATTCATAGTTGCCTTATAATGATGGCTGGCCACAGGCTCCTTCCTCCCCACTCTAGCATGTTGCATTCCTGAATGTCTAGATATCATTAATACATTTTTCCATTTTATTTATGTATGTACTACTCTGAACATGGTATATTTTTCCAGTTGACTCGTATATGTTGTGTGTACTAACTCTGATGAAGCTGCATAGGCAAAATGCTGGTTAAAATAAAAAGTTCTTTTATAATTATCTGAAGTATAAATATAATTTTTTTTAACCTTTTTATCAATATGTTTAAATCCCTCCAGTATGCACTACAAATTTTGAAAGACAAAAAACCTTCCAGCACTGAACATCCATGTACCATTTCTGCCCATCCAGGTGACATAACTCTGGCTTATTTGCCTCTCTTCTTTCCTATGTGGGTGAAGGGGATAACCTGGATGAGATGTTGTTTCTCATGGATGTGCCTCGACGTAGCCCCCGAGTATTCATTTCAGAAGTTAACATTTTCCTTATCTGAACATGTACTTATAGATACACAGCTTTACGCACACTTACCCATCCTTCCCACTTCTGGTGCACATTTCTTACTTACCTCGTCAAAGAATGAAGATTCACACATGCAAATTCATAGGGGAAGTCAGTGTGTTGTCCTCCTCTTGCTTTTGCTGCATAATGATGACATCAGGCAAAGGTGCTCATTCATGTGAAATTAGGTGGGAGTTTTCACAAGGCTAGTGGCTAATAAATTTCTTTTACAAAATGTGTGGAAGAGTTGAGGAAGGTAGCTAAACTGTGTGTGAGGGTGAGTATCTATAAAAAATACATTTTCAAGTTAAGAAAATATTAACTTTTAATAATACAGTTGTAATTATATGGCATAAAGTATGCTAGATTTCCTAAGTCTAATTTTTTTAGTAAAGATTGGATCTGTATCAAGTTTGAAATTCCAGTTCACAGCTGCTCATTGCTGTTTTTATAAGTAATGGTAATTCTGGTATCTTTTGTTTTGGAATGTTTATTTTTTATCATAAGAATTATGATTTGAACTTTGTTGTGCTTATTCAATTCAGTAACACTAATTTTTTTTTCTTCTTATCTTTTTCTTTCTTTGCATAAAGGAAGGTGAAAATAATGATAAATTTGACTACCATCCTCAAAGTAATGATTCTCTGCCTGCATACTTCTTAGTACACAATCCCTGGTTTTATCGTTTGGATTTATTAGCTGCAGTGATGCTGTTAGGACTTGCATTAGTGGAGGAGCCAGCTGTTCCTGGCTTTCAGATTGATCTTTGGGTAACATTTGTAGTTTGTAATGAAACATTATGAATGAATATGTGATAGGCAATTGCATATAAATTAAACATATGATTAAAATTGTTTTGAATGATAATGATCATTTGATAACAGTTTTTATTTTTTGTATATTGTTTTAGATTACAGATAAGTTGACTTTCTGTCATTTGTTTCACTGTCATGAATTACAAAACAACAAACATTCTTGCTAACTAATGTTGTAAATATCACTCACCATGGTTTACTGTGGCAAAATATGTAAAAATCTAAATCAAATCAGCATATGAAATTCTGTGGCAAAACACACAGCTTGAGTTTCTGCAACATTAGTCATCTATTTCATTGTTGCTTTGGAATAACATTTTCTATTTATTTCATTAATAAGAACCAGGAAATAGTCTGTATTTTTTTTCACAAGACTAAATATTAAATAGTGTTTTGTAGTAAAGCAGAATCAGGTTAAAATTTAAAAACTAATTATGAAGATTGTGTTCAGTTTTTTATGTTCAAGTCTTACAGAGTTTGAATGCCCAGTAGACATGTTTCCTTTACATTAGCACTACTTTGTAAGAGCTTCAAGACAAATTATTTAGCCTTTGAATTACTTGGCATGTTTTTTAATACTGTTGTTCTTCATAATTCTGTGGCTTTAGTTTTTCCTCTCATTGCAACACTCATGGAGATCTGTAGCACCTGATATTAGCCTAAGATTGTAGTATAAGAGAAGAAAATAAAAGAGCTCTGACTGCTCATAAAGAGTTTCTCCATACCCAGAATAATTTTAGACAGTTCTCCAGATGTTTGTTTAAATAATTTTCTTTCACTGGTCATTCAGTATCAGAGAATTGACAATGAGCATTTTCAATCCTTTGTTTATAAGGCTGAAAAAATAAGAAAATTCTAATTGTCTTCAGAATTGTCAACAACGAAAGTCTGAATATTGTGCATATACACAGTGGTGATTTAAATATGCTTGACTTATGGATCAACAATCAGAGCAAAATGATATAATGTGAATGAAGAGTATGCTATTTTTTTTATCCCAGAAATGTACACAATTATATATTTACTACAAGCTAAATGTTAATAAGCTGAACTTGAATGAACTTAGAAATAATATTAATAATTTGTGAATTAATGCAGAAATGAGGAGTAAAATTTGAGGAGTGTTACACCTCTAATTTTAATTCTAGTTTTGCCATGAGTACATGGGTAAAGCCCATTGTACTTTAATGCAGTACATTATAAATTGAAATAAATTTGGCAATTTTCGAAAAATTCCATTTTTAAACTTTCTATAATCAGTAGCTGTTTCCATGGTTTTTTCTTCAATATTGGAATCAAGAAAACCCTGGGTAGTGAAGCATGTTTCAACTTTTATGATAACTTAAGAACAATGATCAATTTTTGATAAATTCTTCAATGATGGTTTGGTATTCAGTCAAATCTGTGGTAAATTATTTCTAATAGCCTTTAAAATAAGACTAACCAAAGTTATACTTATCATACTTCACTATCATAATATTTACTGTATAGTGAATAAATATATATTAAAAGAAGAAGCCTACTGTATTTTTCCAATGTTTTATGCTAGTGACATACCTAACTGCTGTTATTTAAATAAGCAAAGTATTTGAATCATACTGCATGGAATACATATATTTAAAATTCCAAAACACATTTACCCTCCGCTGCCACTTTAGCTATTCCTCGATGTTGGCTTTGCCTATCTATGTATTAGTCTCGCATGCTCCAGTCTTTTATAACCCACTTAAATGCCCTTGGCAACATCTAATTTGCAAATCCCTCCACCTGCGTAGATGCGCCCTCTGTCCTGACACTGTATATAAGCACCTCACTCAGATAATGTAATCACTTTTTTTTGACAAAGCATTGGTCATGGTTTTCATGATGAAGTGTTGTAGTTCATTCCACTATGGATTACAATTTACACGTCACCTTGTGGATTTCCATATAATTATAATTGCCTAAAATGATGTTTGCAGGTATGAATTCCCATATTACCATTGTCAGCACGGCGACTAATCTGACCTTCCCTATTCCTCCTTTGTTATCTAGTGTTTCTCTACAGTTGGGAGGGAGGGTCACTCTCAGTTGAGGCTCTCTGTATTTTGATCCATTGGGAGATGGAGACATACTTTCAGCCCAGGGGTGTTTTCTCCTGGGGCCTCTGAAGTTGTTTTTTTCTTGCTGTTGTTGATCCTGGTTATTCTGTGAAGAATTTGGACACAGGAGTCCAATTTGAATCACCCATCTTTTACTCCTTTTCTTCAATTAGTCTTTTGGGTTGATGAGATTTTGGGGCTTTTCTCTGTGACCTTTGAGTCTACTCCTCCCTTGATGGTGGAATGGTTGGGGGGGGGATTATTTAGTTTTTCTTTCTTCACCTTCTATTCTTGTTTGTCTGCTGGCATGCTTTGGCTTTCCACCTCCAGGGGGTATAATTTTTCAATTCCACAGACTAAAATCACTTAATTCTGGATGTATGGGGTTCCAGGTTGCTTCATGTGATCACTTTGAACCCATCTCATTTTTTCCTATTTGTTTGCTCCTCACACTTGCTCTGTGATATTTTTTCTTCTGAAAATTGTTGGCAGCCTATCAATGGTCCCCACATCAATTTACAAATGATTGAGGTCTCCTACTGACTTCTACCTTGGTCTGATTAACTGTGTCATTTCCTTCTGTAGAGATACCTTGGTGAAGGGATTTTTTCTACCTGCTGTAGCCTCTGGGTGTTACATGTGGCTTCTTTTTTTTGTCACTTGATGTTCATTCATGGGTGTCCAAGAGGCATTTGTATTGCGAATTACTGTCACCAGTTTCCTTTTTTGTTGTTGTTGACCTCTCAACCTTCTTTAGCTCTAGCAGCTGAATAAACTCAGACCTTAGTTTCAGGGCCATTCCCTTTAGGCAGACCCATGCCAACGGCATTGGTATCAACCTAGGTGTGTGTGGGGGGGGGGGCAGTTAGATTGAGGTTACAACTATTGATGGACACCTGGAATTCCTTCACTGCAAATCTATGGGTATGTCAGGTTCTGGTATCAAGGTTGGTCTTTCCCTTTTTTTCCTAAACAGTGGGTTGTGGATTTTAGTTTCACTGCTATCATAGTTACTGATCACAGGGGTGGTAATGACAGTTGATCTCGTTCTTACGGGATTTTATTCTTATTTATTTGTTATGCCTGAGATTAGGGGAGATTCATGGATGATCGTTATTCTTTCTCAACTCATTCTTAATTCCTCCCCAGTTCACAATGGAGTCCCTTCTCACTTTACGTTGGCATTCTTTACTAGGTCTGTGGATGCCCAGGTTTGAGATTGCTGAGATATTCCTCCATCTTCTCATAGTGAATTCATCTTGCCTATAGCTATTTTTTCTATACAAAGATCAGTTTCTGCAGTTCAAGGATCTAGCCTTTGGTCTAACATCAGCACCATATGTCTTCTGCTGGGTTGTACAAGTTTGTGCCATGTTTTACGCCTGGCTCAGCCACCTCCCATCCAGTTCCAGGCTATAGAACGGGCAGTCAGGCTCTTACTTACAAGGATGATTCTATCTCTGGGGTTGTGGGCTTCCCTCAGATCTCTTTAATTTTTTGGGATGAGGATACATGCTATTGCTTCAGTGGTCCCATTGATACTGATGGACCTGGAACTTCAATCCACCGGATTTTCCAGTCCCTTTCATCTGGAGCAACATCTTACTTTTTGTGTGGCGGTTGGTTTGGATCAATTATATCATTAGCATGCGTGCGTGTGTGTGTGTATATATGTATATTGCCCCTCTGTCCATAGTTTATCGCTTCACAGATACTTCACTTTTGGGGATGAGGTGTGCATCTTCAAGGTCAGGAATTCCAGGGTATATGAATGGGGGATGAATTTTCATTCTGCATCAATAATTTAGAACTTTTTGCTGTCCAACAGGCAATAGTGCAAGGTCTAGATCTTTTGCAGTGGAATATCTTCATGAGATATTTCATCATATGTTGCATATTCTGGATTTTACAGGCAAGGAATCTTCAAAGAGTTACATTCTCATCAGCACATTTATGTTTTTCACTGCCCATTTCTTTTATTCACTGGGAGACATTTTACGAGCCTGTGTGTGGACTTCTCCTAATGCTTTTCTTTCACATTCTTTATATGATCTGGCAGTTTTTTCTGGGTGGTTTCCACTACCCCCTATGGCTGTTTTAACAACATATGCTAGATTATACGGAGGAGGGAGTAGTCTTGTATTGTCTTTCTTTTCAGAGTCCCTTACATCTTGGTTTCACTGGATCCCACTCTATGGCGAACCTTGCTCAGATAGGTATGCTTTTATCAATCCAGTTCCACACTAGCAACCCATTTGACTATACTTACTACTGGTTGCAACAGGCTCTGTTGAAATGAGGTGTACCATAAGACCATCTAGGCATTTACCAGATGGTATTACCATATTATCATGGACTGCTACTTATGAACTATCATGAGTAAAGCTAAAAGGGGTTCTACCAGTTCTTGCTGATCATTGGATTGAATAAATTGGAGTCAGTTTGTTTTTAAAAGTTTAAGGAACTGGGTTCACCTCTTGCACTATTCCTTAGGACTCCCCAGTATGCATTATCCCTTTTCCTCTAGAGTGTTCGAGTGTGTTCTTCCACTCTTGGAGAAGAGGGCAAAGTTGGGGTCCCTGGATGTATTTCTCGGATGTTGGTAGGAGTGGTACCAGCCTCTGTAGGAGCCTACTTGTAATACCGGTTCAGATTTGATCCTTGGAATAGCTAAAATGTCAGTATAGGTAAGTGTCATGACATAAAAGACTGTTTTGTTTAGATATTAGTATTAATTTATATTTGTGAGTGAATATTTTATTATTTTAAGTTTTGTTATAATAGGAGTTAAAAGCAGATAATTGGATAATGTTTTGTTAATAAGTAATTGGTGTCAAGAATATAGAAAGTAGCTAGATGACTATGTAATAAAGATATAAATAACATGAGATGAGCAGGAAGCAGCAGACAGGCAACAACAGACAAATAATAGCAAAAAAGAATAGAGTTGTGTCAAGTTAAGTACCGCAAAGGTGATAGGTCTAACGTTTAATATGTTAGAGTGAAACTAATAATATAAAAAAAGATAAGAAGGATAATTTTATTCCGTCAAAGCGTGGTTCTAAAGTAATTCAGCTTGGGTACACTTTGACAAAAGGAACAGAGGATCTTCAGAAGAAAAAAGACCAAAGGAATTATGGTAACTTGCACCACTGTAAGTGAATCACACACAGAATACTAGTATGATAGTAATACAGAGAAGACAGTTTGACTTGTCAACTGCAATTCTAAAGTAATTGAATAGGCCTAAGTGGACTTGACAAGAAGAAGAGAACTATATATAAATAGTGTTTATGATATACCTGTAATCTCCATAGTGTGAAGACTTTGTTGTACATACGTTTAACTTGTTCTGAATATATATATATATATATATTTCTGAGGTACCAGTAATATATGGAGTAACAATTAGTTTTATATATTCAGTATTTGATTTTGACTTGTTTTTGATATTTTTTCTGTTGGATGTGTATAAATCTATTTTGGTATCCATTCATTGAAAGATAATTTAGGATGTTTTTCTCATTTTTCACTGGGACAGATTTTTTGCTGGGGGGGGGGGGTAAATTTGCTATGTGTCATATTTTTCAACTAATTTGTGAGCAACTGGTGATGAAAAATGAAATGTAAATATCTGAGTATGTGTTTGTTCAAAGTATAAATCAGTTTTAAGTTTTTTCCATGTGAGTGAAAGAACATCGAAGAAAAGTAGCATGTTATTCTGTTTTCTTTCTACTGAACAATGAATATGTATGTTTTGTGTACTTAACTAGCTAACATGGTGAAAATGTCATCCACATAACATCAACAGATGTATTCTTGTTAAATTTTTCACACTTATGAAGAAGAGAATGTTGTTTTTCAAAACAATGTTTTTATTTTTACTAGTGTAAAAAATGAAGAAAATAAACACTGTTTTCATGAGTAGTTTTCCTAGTTATGAAATACTTTTTTTCCTAGAAGTTTATTAAAACAAAGTTTTTGAACAAGCAAAGCTTATTTTACTTTCTTATATTTACTCTTATTTATGTTCCTATTATATTGTCAGGAATAAACATAAACATCATCAAAGTGGCAAAATAGCTTTGTATGTTGTGTCCAAAAAAGAAACAAATAATTCATTCTATGCAACTGAAGCTAGAAACTCAAGACTAGCAGAGAACTTAAACAATTAATAAATATATACTTACATATTTTACCACATAGATTCATGCTTCCTTGGAGCTAGTTAGCCTCTTTATTATTGGCATTGAACTGGTAATGAAACTTTATTGGATGGGAGTGAAGCCATTCTTCCAACACAGGCGATCTATAATAAAGGTAATTGTAGTGGTTTACTTATCAGTTCCAATGAAACTTATTTTTGTACCTCCTTTGCAGGTAATTACTTATAGGACATTGGTAGTGTTCAGTTTATAAATTTATGGAAACTATTTCAAATATGTGTTGTTTACCTCTTATATGTCTAAAGAATTAAATAAGTTGTTGTTATTTGTGCATCATACTTTTTTATATTTGGAGAAAGTGCAGTGGAATAACTTGGTTTTATAAAATGAGTACTAAGGACAGCATTGCCCCCCCCCCCTCAGTGGCACATTGGTATTTCTGCAGACTTACAATGTTAGAATTCGGGTTTTGATACCCATGGTGGTGAGCACAGCACAGATAGCCCATGGTGTAGCTTTGCATTCAACAACAAGAAATCAGTACAGTAAAATCACCTATAGTGGATTACTAGTTAAAATCTGCCTGGAATGAACATAAATTAATAATAATGTAAAATGAAATAATTTAGTTTGAAGTAAACAGACTCAATATTATTAAGTAAGCAAAATTAAAAGTTGTTTTTTTTAACTCTCTGTATGGATAACACTTTCCAATACAATATTTTACCCCCACTCATAAAATAGCTTTTGTTGACTAACACTGCCCTCTATTGTTGCAGATAATATGCAGCAGCTCTCCACCAATACGAGCGTGACACCACTCCTATCATAACCAGTGCCCTCTTCATATATGCATTTATTAATTACTTCTCGATTGGCAGTAGTACTGTACAGACAACCTGGCTTTTGCTCGTGGATTTTTCAGTGTTTTCCATTATACTACTGACTTAGTTTTTCTTCACTTTTTATTTAAATTTTCATGTTTTGTTATTGTGAAAGGTTGCTTTTTGTCAGGGGCCTTTTTGTTATTTTATTGTGGATCTCACTCTGTGAAAAGTGGTGCCTGACCAGTTATACTTTTTTTTTAAATCTGCACTCTCCGTCCTGCAACCATGCTTGATGTCAATTACATTGTAGTCCTTCCTACCGCAAACCTGATGTTCAGTTCCAGATGCCATGAGGTGCTAGTTGTGTGTCTCCATTTTATTGTTATCTAGGACCAAACAATTACCTTCCTGGTTTCAGTTATGCACACCATAGAGATGGAATGTTCCATAGGAGTGCGAGTAGTTCTCTGTAGTGGTTTTTTTGCTTTATAAATATGTACATCCCGAACCATACAGTCATGGACTAACATGAGTAAAGCAGACAGAGATTGCTGCCCATCTCTACTGCTCCGTGCCTGGTTTTTGTTGATTGGCTTTCGTCGATGTGGTAGCTTTGCTTTTCAATATGGGTATTGAGATCACCCATTACACTGTCTCTGCTATTCTCTGAGTCCTAAGGGCATGTCCTCCTGAGTGATGAATCATACCACTCAGTTGAGAGTACGGCAGGGGCATTCTGCAGGTGTCACTGATATACAGCACTTCCTACTGTGGACCTGATATACAATTCCAGATGCCTCTAGGTTTTGTTTGTAGCATTACACTCTATATCTGTCTATATATCTCACTGATTGTTTTTCGTACCATGGCATTCCTCCTTTCTCCCATCCCTCGAATGTACATTCCCAGTGGGTATGGTTTTGGTTGGAGATAGCCTGGTCACAGTTAGTTTCATATGTAGATGGTGTAATGCCCTTCCTACCATTGACCTGATGTACAATTCCAGATACCGCCAGGTTTTGGTTGAAGCATTCCACCATGTCACGAATATATATCTATATCTATAATTGCAGTTTGCCCCTCAGGCTGAAATGTTCCTCCTCCCTACCATCCTATGGATGTACATTCCTGGTGGGTTTGGTGTTGGTTGGAGATGGTACAGCTACGTAAGTCCTGATGTGTGCTGATCAGTATCCCTCCTCCTACAGTGGACTGGATGACAAATGGCCACTGCCACCAGATTTTGTATTGGAGATGCACCCCAGGTTTCCGGTCCCTCTTCCATCTGCTGGATGTTGGTTCCTGGCAGATCTGGTATAGTTGAAGCTAGACCCAGCACATTTTCCCACTTGTTTATAGCCAGATATCCTCCTCCTACTGTGGACTGGAATTACTATACCCATTGCCATCAGGTTTTTGACCAGAGATGTCATCTCGGTGGGTTTTCCACCTTCCTACCATCTGTTGGAGGCCAGTTTCTGGCAGATCTGGTGTTAATTGTGTTGAAAGTGCATGCAAGTGGTGATGAATTTTGGTACGGAAGCTCTTCTTCCCTACCAATTCCAATTTTGAGGTGAAAGATAGGTGATTCTCTACCTACTGCAGATCTGATGTACCATTCCAAGTACCACCTGGTGTTGTATAAGGTTGAACTAGCACTAGAGTCAGTTTAGCCCTAGCCACTTGACACCCTGGAATCACATTCATCCGTTACTCATATTCTGGGATTCCTTCAAGTTTTTCCACCTTTTATGTTCAAGATACTGTTATAAAAGAGCGATGAGTGTACCTGGAACAAATGTGGTATAGCCTCACACTGAGCTATGATGTTTTCTCTTTTTTGGTTCCCCACCTCTTGGTCTCTCTTTGGGCACTTCCATATCTTTTTTTTACCAGCCCTCCACCAATTCAATGTGGGATTCTAGCTATTTTGTGAGAAGATGTAAGATATCGTATCGGAAGTGAGCGCTTTCCTACACTGAAAATGTATTTCTGATAAATACTTCTTCTCACATTTCTCACCCAGCCTCCCCACTCCTGATGATATATGGTGTAGGTCTTCTGACCAATCTCAAAGTGATTAAGGAGTGCAGATGTGAAGAGGGAGCAGTTTATGATGGGAGGGGTGTCATGTTCCTATTGGTGGAGAGCTGCTGTATGGTCATTTACATGTGAATATGCATTGGATTTTTTATAAAGTTTTTTTTCTTTTTGTTGTTGTTTTCTTAGTGCAAACCAGTTGGCTGTGTGCACTCTGTTGGGGAATTGAACTTCATGTATTAGTATTGTAAGTCCATAAACATACTGCTAACCCATAGGGTGACTTTTTCTAATTCCTTTGAAGTTATTATATGTTAGGTAATTGAACTAATTATTTTAGCATAAATTTACTGCTGACAAACTGGGGGACATTTTTCTAATTCCTGTGGAATGATTGTTCAAAGAAACCTCAATATCCTTAGAAAAAACTCTTCAAGAAATTTTAAATTGCATAAATTATTTGTGTGGTGTTTTTTTTTTAGATCAATACAACTTTTAAACTGTTTATTAGCAACAGTCTTTCAGTTACCATTCAGTCATCTTCTTGGGCAGACAGATCTGTTGAGCAACATTTACATGGAGTTTTTTTTCTTGTATTCCATTTTTTTTAGCAATTTTAAGCCTTGTAAGGATATAAAAACTTAGATAATGATTTAAAGAAGTTAATTACATGTATCTTTTAATAATTGAATTACCAGATATGTTCATACATTTTTTCCAGCTTGCAGCTATATTGATGATGTTCATTGAAAGTATGATAGTAATTATTCGACAGGCTAGTCATTTTCGTATTAGTCGTGGATTTCGTCCTGTGTACTTAATCGACAATTATTACTGTGGAGGAATTCGAAGGTAAGTAGTAATGACCAGTCATTCGTGTACCATACTTTGCTCACTTATTTTAGTAAAATATTAAATGTTACTGAAAAACTTCATAGTTTTTAACATTTAATGTTACTAGTCCTTTGTTTAATGCTACCACGCTCTTGTTCACAAAATGCCCAGTTTATTTTATCAGTACTACAATTTATAGGATAAGTCATTTGTTTGTTACTATAGCAGCAACTTACATATTATAATGATATACACCTTATCACTATTTATATTTTGGAGGTAATGCTACCTTATTAAAAAAAAAAAAAAAAAAAAACTTTTACAGGGTTACAAGACAAATTCTACAGTCACTTCCTCCAATCTTAGAAATGTTGGGGCTGCTCCTGTTCTTTATGTTAATCTTCTCTGTTTTAGGTAAGGCATTAATCTTGTTAAAAGCTCATTTAATGCACATTTTGAATTCTGGTCTTACCCTGTTTAATGAATCTCCTTGTGATTTTTTTAAAATTTATCATGTCTATTACATAATTTTTAATATTTATTTTGAAAATAATGATAATGCACCAGAAAGCTTTCAAAGCAATGACTGTTTTTATTTTTATAAATGAGCATTAATAGCTGACACTTGTTGAATATACTAAATTTTTTAACACCTTTCCTTAATATTGAGTTAACCTCATAATAGAAGTTTTTGAAAATTTTGTGTCATTGTTTGTATGATTTAGACAGTGTAAAAGTGGTAGTTTTTATTAATGGAAGTTAAGCATCTAATAACCTTTGTTTCTTGCTTATATATTTTTTAACATTCCTTACAAATACCTCTCTTATGGCATTAGTTTTAGCCAGTATCTATGTGTTGGAATGCAGTTGCAACTTTCAAGAACTACTTAATATATTGGAAAAAGATCTTTTTAGAAAAAAATAATTTTATTGATAGAAGATCAACTGATGTGAGTTTGGTTTTTAAATAAAGATCAAAGCAAATTGATAGAGCAAAGTACAAGAAAATAACATAGACGAAAGTCTGGATGTATAACCTTCATGATTAATGGTCAAAAGCATAAAGGTCCACTTTTTTAGGCACATTCTTTCATATTTCTTATTTTCTTTGTACCAAATGAATTATGGATCTAACTTGGATACCAGAAATATGGATTGAGACCTTCTAAACTCTTTCAACACGGATTGGTCGATTTGACCGATCACATGATCTCTGTGTACTCATTTAAAGTCTTTATAGTTTGGATACTATTAGATTTTAATATAGTGTGTATATCTTCAAAACATTTGCAAACTTTCAGTAAGCATTATAAGTCTTTCACATACAAAAACATCACACTTTTTAGAGAAGTATTTTTAATAAACTAAAAAAAAATTTTTTTTCAATATATCAAGTATTTTTCTTTTTAAAAGTCCGTACGTTAAGTGATATTTATATTAAGCCTAAAATTACTTTTCTTCATCTCAAAAAACTCAAATTTCATTTTCATAAACTCTAAAACCTTGTAAATACATTTCATATGTTTGTTTTCAGTAAAACTTTATATTTTATATGTTATTTTCTCTACCCTAATTCTATACAAGGTTGGTCAATTTGACCAAACAAAAAATAAAAAATCGAAAAAAATCTAAATTATCCTTTTTTTCTTTCTAGAATGACTTCAAATTGTAACAGGAACTATATTTGTTTATCCTAAGTAGCTTTAAAATCATAACAGCATGCATCTATTTCTACTTAAATTTTATTGTTTTATTGCACTTTGAACCATGTATAACTACTATTCTTGTCATTATAATTTGTAAATCACTTGGGAAATGTGGAGCTCACATTATGCTATCGAATTACATTATGCATGAGCTGCTCGCGTCCATGCGTGCCTTGTGAAACTTTTTTTTTACTTAATTTAACCTCAACTAACCTAAAGAGATCCCTATTTTTACATTTTAGTTACATCTATAATAATAACTAAAGAATAAACATGAGAAACAAGAAATAAAATACTTACCTGAATCTTCTTTTTTTCTTGCTGTCAGTTATGGATGAAACTTAACCCTACTTGTTTTTATACTAATGGTAGTAATGCACTAAATAATTTTTATTTAGTTAAATAATGCACCAAAGAACATAGAATAATAACATGCAAAAAAGTAGACAATTTCTCCTAACTATCACAATTTTTCAGGCTTTTTCACTATGTGACAAAAACTGTTACAAATACATCCAAGCTAGTCATTAGCTTTCCCACACGAAACAAGCTTGTACTCTGAGTAAAATTGATGGTTATCTATTCAGAACACAATGTTATACAATATGTCATTTGATAAATGAAATCCTTGGCTTTATATTGGTTATAGGTAATATATAATAAAACGTAAGAAAGAACTATTAACAAATTTTGAAAGAGAATATGTGACAGGGAGGGTCTGAATTTCTATTTGATAACGCTATAAAACTATGGGTTGTCTGAGCAATGGCGATTTTATAGTGAGTAATTTACGTTTAATTTCATACTTATTGGTGAATAAAATAGAGAAGAGGGATGCCTAACGAAAATATGTCGTATTTCTCACACTGGGGAAAATTCAGGTTTTTTTTAGATATTGCCATGTAAAATTAAGAACTTATAACTTCTATACTATTAAAATATGGATTATTAGCTACAATTTTATGCTACACTAATTGGTATAACATAAACAAAATATAGTTTAATAAAATTTTGAATATAAGTCACTAAAACCTGATGACACACGTAGTAAATGATGCCTGGGTAGACAGGGTTAAACTAATTAATACCATGTTATAATATAAAATATATGTATTGAAATTAATTTTTAAGCTTAGAAATGCTTTTAATCTGAGTTGCACATTATTCCAATATTTTACAATTAGAATTACCTTAAAATTTCAAATGTTTCGGTATTATCTGTATGTGTAATGTTGGAAAAAATAATTTTAAAACTGGAAAGTTTATACCTTTTTTTTTCCTATCTCACAATGGACTGATAGAATGTTTAACATGAAAATTTATAGTTTGTTAATAAACTATACCATTATAATGAAGATTAATAGGATTTTATTTAGTTTTTATATTACTTTTTATGTTATGAAATTTTCAGGATTTGCTTGAAAGGCATTGTTTTGAAGAAAAAAACTAAAAATAGTTCCTTCATTTTAGAATTTCAGTTTTTTTAGGTTCTTCAGAAAGTTCCATTTTTATATTTTTGTTCAGTTTCAAATTGATTAATATTCACTAACATACTTATTTTGATACTTTATTTTACTGATTGCAGAAGTCACTACTTTCAGCTATAAATCATAAAAATCTGACAAATATTTATCAGTGACCTAGGACATGACCTTTCAAGATTGATAGGTCAGACTAGGTAACAATATTTTTTCTAACTGGATACTTCGTCAAAATAAGTTTATATCTAATAAACATACTTTCCTTTCAATAAATTATAAATTATTTTATTGTACATTGTTTCAATATGATAAAATTAATAATATTCAATAAATAAGAATTTGAATCACTGGAATATTTTGCCATCACATACTATTCTGTCTAAACTTAAGACTTATCTGTTGTGCCATAGAAAATATATTTCTGTAGCTTTCAAACAGATATAATTTAGTATAAACATTCCATTATTTTTCTCTGTGCAAGCTAGGTTTTGTCATTTTTGCATGAAACCACAAATTATTTTTCACACCATTATACATACAACACTGATGTAAATAGTTTGTAATCAGCTCTATCCAGTGGTACCTAAATTATGCATATAACTATTTGTAAAGCTGATTTTCAATAATCATTGTTCAGTTATTTGCTGTGAGATCATAAAAGAGTGGGAAACAAGAGGATGTCCTTATAAAATTCAGAGAATAAGAATAAAAAATTAGAAGCATTGATAATTATATTATCAAAGGGTGATAGTTTCTTTGTAATTATAAACTTTTACATTGAAATGTGGAAAAAGATCCTAAAAATTATAAGTATGTTTATATAAGTTTTGATATGTTTTTAATTTTTCTTTGGGAATTATATTAAATAAATGTAAAAAATGATAAAATGTGAACTGTAAAACATTATTGAGTGAAAAATTGTTAAATTAGAGTTAAATTATTATTTTTATTTAATTTTTGAAATTTGATATGCTGGCATGCACATGTCACATGAAAGATGCTCATTGGCCTGGAAAGAGTTGAAGCAATTGGATATGTTTTAGTTAATTTTACAATTGCTTCCTTTTTTTTTATAGCATTTTAAAAGAATTTAAGAAAGAAGGTATAACAATATTCTTAGTTTTTTAAATGAACATATACATGAGGAAACCGTGTAAATAAAGACGTCTGTATTATGAAATAAGGTCAAGAGCTAAGAAAGTACAGCTAGCTGGTTAAGTGGTATTGAGAATCACGAGTTAGTGAATCATGAGTTAGGAGTTATAAAAAATGAAGCTACAACAGAGATGTTGAGAAAAATACTAGCTATAAGATTGACAGTGATATATTACTGACCCCAAGTTAGTAGTACAGTTAAGGCTACTAAAAAGTTTATGATAACATCTCAAATCGGAACTTTGATGTGAGATCTTTTACTCTAGACCAGTGTAATAGTACAAGTGAAAAGGCAACTGGAGCACTCCCCATGGTCATTAAAGACTGAAGACTTATTTCTATTTCCATTATATGCTTTTGTGAGTGAACAGCCCTTCTAAATTTAATCTTTTGTACATTCTTGAAATGTTAACATAGAATTTAAATGTCAACCACGATTATATTTTAAGTCATACATTTGTGTTGAGATAAAGGTCAGTTAAATGTGTTAAAATGGTCATATTTGTAGGAACTGTGAAAATATTAAAAGTTTGTTGACAAGATCCAGCCAAATTACATGGAGATTCCATTATGATACTTATCCTCTTCTCATATATAGCTTCCTGATTCAGTTCTGTCCTGTATATATGCTAATTTTTTTTTGCTCACCATTAGCCTTGAGACTTACCTAAACTCGCATGTTTCAACATGATATTGCTGTGTTGTTGCATGCAAATGAACATTGTGACAACCCTCCACTAATAGGAGTGTGACACACTTTTCTAGCACAGCTGATTCATTAATTTTTCAATCAACACTTCTTGATTTCGCACTCATGTAAAGATGGGTCTTTTTTTGTTCATGAGTATTTGTTGTGAAAGTATCTCCAAAAACCAACTATTGTGGAAATATTAAATTTGCATTTTAGTTTTCAAGCATTTCTGCAGCTGTAGATTTTGTGGCCTTTTATTTCCACATTATGAATTCCCAAGTAATGGTAATTCTTCCACTTTAACTGGTGTGGGATAACAGAATGTTGTTCATGCTAGACAAATAGTCAAAATGGCATCAGGTTCCTCTGTTGAGGAAGTGATGGCTATTGTGCAACAGGAAATGGAATCTTTCATGCGGCCTGGACATTCTTCAGGACCTGACATACTTCCTTCTTTGAATCCTGTTGGTGTAAAAGAGGATTGTGATAGTCTTTTCCCACCATCTACCTTTGCCAAATCTTCTACCAGTTTTGTTGAGGATCTAACTAGGCCTTTTTTCAAAATCTTTGGACATGGTTTCTCAGGTATGTTACCTTTTCTCTCTTCTGTCTCATAAGTTTCTTCTCCTTAACTTCTTAATTCATTCCCTGCTTCTGACTTTTATATTTTTCCCCTCTCCAAATATTCAAGTCCATATTGAACAGTGTTTATCCCAGCTTCACTCTGGTGCAGGCATGCCTCCTTCTCCTAACATGGTTGCCACATATGCCTTTGCTTAATTTCATGCTGTATTCCCTTTATTGGACTCCCAAATTCTGGTTCTCTTCTTCAGGCTTGGGGGTCAGATCCTCTATTTTCTGTGACTTTCTCAGATCCAAATTTTATGCCATTATTTTACTTTCACTACCATGTTGCATTATTTCTCCTCCCTTTCCATTGTCTCTGAAGCAATTCACTATGACCCTGTGAGGTTTTTGGTAGTTACTTGTTCCTTTGTCTTTTCTACATTGGCACTTTCTTCTTCCTTGGACTTGTCCTTTCTGACTAGATTGCATAGCCAGGTGGTTAGGACACTTGACTCACAATCTGGGGTTGCAGGTTTGCATCCCCTTCCACCAAACATGCTCGCCCTTTCAGTCGTGGGGGCATTATAATGTGACGGTCAATCCCACTATTCACTGGTAACAGAGTAGCCCAAGAGTTGGCAGTGGGTGGTGATGACTAGCTGCCTTCCCTCTAGTCTTTTACTGCTAAATTAGGAATGGCTAGTGCAGATAGCCCTTGTGTAGCTTTGCACAAAATTCAAACCAAATGAACTGATTGCTTTGTTGCTGGGATTTCTTGTGGAGGGATGCACTTCTTGTTCAGGTACATTTGCCTTTCTTCTATCTCTGAGATCTTTATCTGACCCCTTTCCTCCACCAAGGTCTTTTTGGTGGAGTCATGGGTTGAAGCTGCATGTTAACATTCCTTCTAGTTCTCCCATCTCTCCATAGCTTCTTCTTTTAACATTATAGTTTCCTAACTTTACTGAATTAGTTTCTTAACCTTCTCCAGGATTTCACTCTGTTCCACCAAGACTCCTGTGAACATTCTCTTCTCCTTCTTCATGAGGCAGCTTTGTTTGGTTGGTAGGTCAGGCTGGAGAGGTCTTACACTCACCTAGCATCTGGAGGTGCATTCTTCTTTTCCTATCTCTGTGGAGCTCATCCTTTTCCACTTTGTTATGGAGAGTTTGGTTTCCACAACTCTATTATTTCCTTCTGTTCCTTAGCGACCTTGGCTTCCAAAGCATTCCTTATTCCCTTGAGCTTCAATTGGAGGGTGTGTTTCACTTCTGTTAGTGGGGGTTTGTCACAATGTTCATTTGCATGCAACAACACAAATATCACAGGGAAACACATGAGTTTAGGTGGCATTCTCAAGGATAGTGGTGAGCAAAATATTTAGCATATAGAGGAGAGCACTGAATGAGAAAAGCCATGTATGAGAAGAGGTTAATTATCATAATGGAATCTTCGTGTAATTTAGCTGGATCTTGTCAACAAACTTTGATTATTTTCACAATTCCTATAAACCTGACCATTTTAACAAATTTAACTAGCCTTTATCTCAACACAAATGTATGACTTAAAACATAATTGTGGCTAACATTTAAATTCTATTAACATTTCAAGAATGCACAAAAGATTAAATTTTGAAGGGCTGTTCACTCACAAAAGCATATAATGGAAACAGAAATAAGTCTTCAGTCTTTAATGACCATGGGAAAACTAATGAAATATTACTCTTTTGGGTGATTTAAGAACTATTAATGCTTTCAAGGCCAATGAACATTTTTCATGTCATGTACAATCCAGTGTATCAAATTTCAAAAATTAAGTAAAAATAAGGTGAAAAGTTCACATACAGAGGGTGGCAATGAATCAGGAAATCTAAAGGTTAGGGAGGTGAGTATCTATTGGAAGTATATTTTCAGTGGTGGAAAATGTTTACATTACAGTCCATGATATTCAAACATTACACATATGTGTGACTGGACTTCATAGGCATTGTTTCTGTGTTTTTTCTTTCATTATTTGGTGTCTGTTTGATACAGATGTGGCGTAAGGCTTTTATCAGCAGGAGTAAAATGGTTTAATAAATTTGTAAGTTGTCCTAAAATAAGGTGAAAGGTGATGCAGGTGATAAATAGCACTTCTATGCTATTATGCTGTGAAAGAATGGTTTTATTAACTTGTCTGCTATTCTAGGATTTTCATCTTTCAAGGTGCTAAGGGTATACAATGTGTTAGAATAGTGCTTAAAAACTCATTGCTTTTGGTGTTTGATTTTTACAGGCTAAAGATTTTTTTGCAAAATTTATGATTTCTCTGAGTTTAGATATAAAATAAATTAAGAAATATATTTCTTTTACTTATAGGGTTTTACCTGTTTTCTTCCAATCCAAAAAATCCAGTAAGTATTCATCTTTGTTTGATTATTTTTGTCTTTTTTAAATTTCTAGAGCAAACCACAACACATTTAATAATAATTTAGTTGGTTATTTTTACTTTTACTGATGTTAATTTGTAAAATTATAAATACTGTTACAGGTTTATTGTTGAGATTTTCTGATCTGAAGTAAGCATTTTAAATACATAAATGCTCTTGCTGTGGGCTTAGTTGAATCAGCTGAGTTCATGACCCCCAAATTGACCTTTTTAGTTCCCTTACTATAACTTCTAATATGTTTTGTGTATCATCACAAAATTTTGTAAGCTTTCAGTAAGTGTTAAGTCGTTTGTAAACAAAAAAATCAGAATTTTTAATGAGGTATTTTCACCCAAAATTTCTTATAATCCTGCCACACAAGTTTTAAATTACTTTGAGAACATTGAACTCATGTTACCCTATTGGAGTACGTAACACACGGGCTACTCGTGAGTTGTTCGCGAGTGTACCTCATGAACAATTTTTATTATTATTATTCTTTTTCTTTATTTTACCTAATATAACCTTATCTAACTTAAGAAAATATCTGATTTTTTACATTTTGGTTGCTTTTATAATACTAAATAAAGAATACACATTAAAATCAAGAATTAGAGTACTACCTGGGTCTTTTTTTATTTTCTTGCTGTCCACTGTCAATGAAACTTATCTCTACTTTTTTTATACTAATGGTACTAGTGCACTAAATTTTTTATTTAATCAAATAATGTACCAAAGAACACAGAATAGTAGCACCTGAAAAACTATCACAATGTTTATGGCTTTCTAACTACGTGACAAGTGCTATCAAAAAGTCAACTAAGCCTGTTGATATGTTACCTGTGTGAATAAAGTTTGAACTAGAAGCAAAATGTAAAGAAAATAATGCAACATAATATGTCATTTGATAGATTAAAACTTTGGCATTTTATTGGTTATAAATAATATAGTATTAAATGTCAGAGAGAACTATTGGCAATTCGTGAAAGAGGATGTGACAGGTGGGTGTGGCAAGAGGGGTCTGATTTTCTAGCTTATGGCTCTGTAACTGAATAAGATTGAAGGCTATAAAAATTATGTTTTGCATAAGTAATAACAATATTATAGTAATTAAATTATGTTAAATTTAATACTTCTTGGAAAGGTGGTAAATAAGTTAGAGAAGAGGGGATACCTAGAGAGTAAATGTCACAATTCTCATACTAAAGGGAAATTGTGGATTTTTTTATATTGCCTGATAAAATTAAGAACTTGAAACTTGTATACTATTAAGATTTATTAATAGCTACATTTTGATGCCAAATTTACTTGTATACTTTTATTAGATCTTGAATGTAACTCAGTAAAAACCTTGTGACATGTGCAGAAAATGATGCTCATATCGAAAGAGTTAAGATTACCGATAATAACAAACTAAAAATTTAGAAATTAGTGAAGATAATCTGGTATGAAAAGCTTATCCAAAAATACTTAGTGATTTCAGTCATTATGCAAGAACACTAAAGCCTGTAGTAATTAATAATGTTTGGAGATGGCTTGAATGGGTAATGAAGAAAAACTTTAATATAAGTTTAACATAACAGTAAATGTACAACGTTAGGATAAGGTTTTATCATCATCAGGTACAAGTAGTTTACACTGACACAGATGTATATATACAGTATGGAACAAAAGAGGTCACATTTTTGGCAATAATTCTAATAATAGTTCACAGAGTTTGACCTGTTTAGGAGATTTGGGTTAGCCTTAGGTATACTAATTTGTACACACCTGAAAAATCATGGAAAGTGTGAAAGATTTTTCCAGACCTGGAAAGTTCTGATTTTTTGCTAATGGTCATTGAAAGTGATTTAAAAAATAACATTTTCATTTATTTGGATTACTTTGACCTTTGTGGTCATATACATGATCCAACATATTCTAAATGGAAGTGCTTTGCAAATAGCCACATTTTGTTTTATAAAAGTTAGTGTCCACCATTGCTTAATATTGCAAGGTACAGGATGTTGTAAAGTTGTCTCTCTTTTTTTATGGTCAAGCAGCTGTAGAAAAGGTGTTTTCCATAATTTGTCACATTGAAGAGGAAAATCTGCAAGAGCAGTGTTACATTGCATAGAGACTAATAACTAATCATTTAACTTCAGTTGTTGGGTTAGCCAGTTTGGAGCTCAAGTAAGTCCTTCTGGTGTCAGGCAGAAATATCATGCTTACTTTGATAATGAAATAAAAAGAAAAGCAGAGAACCTAATAACTGAAAGCATCAAGAACATTAATTCTTTGAAAAAAGAAATCAATCCAACAAGATGTAGAAACATAACTATAAACTCTTCATGCACAACTAGAACATGAAATAAATCATGTGATGAATAATTAAGGATGTTTCATACAGTACAAATATTTGTAACGGCTTTCCTAAATTGACTTGTTAATTGTGAATACATGTCAGGTTTTTATGTATATGGATGGGCAGGATTCTTTACAGTAGGTGTCTGTGAATTGTTGGTGATAAATTTCAACAATAAACAAATAGCACACAGTCCACTTGTTTTAAAATAATATATTAAAACAAGTCAACGGTATATACAAATGTTCGTTACACAGTTAATTACCAAAGTTGTATCCAGAGCTTTAAGTAATCATGTCTTTTTGTCAAAGTACACACAGGCTGGTTCAATTACTTTAGAACACAATTGACATGATGAATTATTTTTATTTGTTTGTTTATTACCATACAATCGGTCATAATTTCACTTAAATTACACTCTTGGTTACCACAGTTGTATCCAGAGTTTTAAATAATTGTCTCTCTCTCTCTTCTTCTTCTTCTTCTTTTTTTTTGTCAAAGTCCACCCAGGCTGGTTCAATTACTTTAGAACACAATTTCCCACTCTGTCATTACAATACACTCTGTGATAATTTCACTTTCAAAATCACCACTATATGCTCTTTATGGCTAAACTCTCAGTCACACACTTCTGATCTATGTCTGTCACTAACTTTGTCTTACTTCTTCTGAACTACATTGTGGATGCATATTTATAAATAGTCCAACTGAGGTCTAGAACTTTCTACATACAAAAAGGTATTAGGCTTTAATATTGCTTGAGAAAAACTTGGGAGGTTCTAGTAACATGATACAATAGTACAACAAGCACCAGCTCACAACAATTGAACTAAACAACAAATGATTCCTAAATGGTTACATAAACAAACTTGGCATAACTATTGCTTCTAAAAATAACTTAACTTTAATATTCATCTTGTATAAAATATCTAAATCATAAAGCAAATGCTAAATTTAAAACAAAAAGTCATGTATATCTAACAATACAAAACTTATGATGAAGTTTCATGAAACAAATAAAAAACTGATTGATTGCATTCATCTCTCTTAACTACTAAGACATCAACATGAATATGTGTCATTCTAAAACATTCAATAATTGAAGTACAAATGTCATGACTTATTATTTACAGAGTTACATTCAAAACTTAGTTAAGCAGCATTATTATCAATGTATTTTAATAAAGTTGTCTTAAAAATGTAGTTTATAATTCAAATTTTTTTATTTTGTCTGTTTTAACTCCCAATTTTAAAGAGAAATATTTCTAAAAATCTGTCTTCATTTTTCAGTATTATGTGAAATATGTAATCTCCAATTTTTCATTCCAGAATTTTCTAACTCTTCTAAAATAGGCTACTGCAGTTTCCAATAAACTAAAACATTAAACTATACATGATTACAAGCAAAAATCTATAATTTGAACTTCTTCCCTTCTTTATTTACTGCAATATCAATAGATTTGTCAAACCCATTAGAGAAGCCCCTTCCCCCTCTCTCTCTGACTTTCAAGATTTTGTTTGCTAATCAACTTTACATGGTTAATGGACATGTTTATAACCAACAGGAAGAGCAGATTATCCTCTACATAAATCTTAAAATTCTGTTTTCAGTTTTACTATCATAATCCTTTGGTTGAGGAGAATTGCTTGGTTTGTTATCAGATCTAGTACTTTAAACAATAACAGAATTGTTTGGACCCATTTATAGCTTCGTAGAAAGCTGGATAAGTTATAGTAGTTTTTAAAAAATCTTTTCTGATGACTGATAAATTTTTCATGTTCTAAAATGCATATTTGAAAGCTACATGAATTGTAATTTTGGACACACAAATTTGAGAGACTCGTTGAGGCTTAGGGAAGAAAGTCTAAGATTTTTACTCGAGTGCAAACAAATTGAGTGTGCAGTGAGTACTTCAAATCCTGGGTTTACATATACATTTTTTGTTTATTCTTATGTATATTAACAAAAGAAAACTAAAATGTAAAAATTATATACATTTCATTTTAACATGGTCAAAGTTCAGCAACTACAAAGTAAAGCTATAAAAACATAAAATTAAAAAGAGACAGTTGTGAAAAGTTAACTGTAGAAACTTCTAAGAAAAGTAACTTAAAACTGTGTAATCAAAATTGCAGTCAGTGCATAAGAAAAATGCTATTTGTTTTATTTCATATTTTGCTATTTTTCTTTTCACTGTTCATTATTGACTTCTTAACAGGTACAGAAAATAAAAAAATAAAAAGTTTTGCTGGAAACAAGTACTTGGGAGGTTGTAGCAGTTATGCAAATAAAATATAAGATATTTTTATTCTTAATGCAAAATTTGGCTTTCAATTTAAATGACTTTGTAAAGGCTTTGGAGATTTACAGACAAACCTGTAGTAGAAATACTTTATTAAAAACATAGATTATTTTATGTACAATAGTCTTTTAGTATTTGCTAAATGCTTGTTAAATTTCGTAAAGATACACTTAGTAAATTTAGAGTTATAACGTGTATCATTTCACAGATTTAGGGTTGGTGAAATCAACCAATTTTGTTTTTAATATAATTAATAAAACTGTACATTTTATATTACAATTTTGCTCTCAGGAATTCTGGAGACCATTGGTGCATTTTATGTCACTGAGGTCATCATATGTTTACAAAATTGCCTTCTGAATGAAAAGTTACCATTAATAGAAATTCATGATATACTTTAGTTCATAAATGTTTACATATGCTCAACTTTCGTCAAAGTTAACAAATATAGAAACAGAAATTTGGCTTGACTAAGGACTCGTGTATAGGCAATTTATTATTGGACAAATTTGAAGCTAGGGTATTGAAATGTAGCATAATGAAACCACACATTTGGACTAGGTATATGAATGACTTTGTTGTTTGGAGAGGCACTGAAGATGTGTCAACAGTTTTCTGCAATTATGCAAACTCTCTCCACCCTTATACTAAATTTACTGTTGAATTGAATCTTCTAGGACACTACCCTTCCTTGGTGTTCTTCTAATTAAAAAATAGTAATAGAAACCTTTCAACAACAGTGTACCAAAACCTTTCTCAGTCTCTACCATCCTACACATCAGATCATGTCATCTACTTTTGTGCAAAATTTCATCCTTTTATACATTCTTCAGTAGAATTTTGAAAGTCTGTTCTTGCAATGAATGCCTCAATGATGAAATAAATATCACTAAATCATACTGCTAGGGGTGGAGATTACAAAGATAAAATAATAGATGACACTTTAACCCTTTCCAGACGGGTTATGGGTCATGTTTGTTGACTCACATTCAAAATTATATTGTACTACTATTTTATGAATTTATGTCATTATGTTTGTATCAAACTGTAGATTATAATTCAAATTTTCATATTATACATTATTTAATTTCTTAATATATAAGTAAATATTAAAAAAAAAACACCTAAACATCAATTTTTGTGTGTCATGTGGCATGTTGAATGGAGCACTGGCTCAAA